TTGATAATTTTGTAGGATACATCAATTTGGGTTGTAAGTTTTTCTTTCAGAACCTCAAATATCTCACTCTAAGCTTTTCTTGATTTGATGGTCTGTGCTGAGAAATCTGCCATGATCCTCATGGGCTTTCCATTATTGGTCATATATTTCTTCTCTCTTACAGCTTTTAAGATTCTGTTCTTTGCTTGATTTCTGAGGTATTGATTATTATGTTTCTGGGTGAAGATTTATTTTGATTATGGCTAGCTGGAGTTCTGTATGCCACACTAACTGTATATCAGATTCTTTCCCTGTGCCTGGGAAATTTTCTGCTACTATTTCTGTAAACAGTCTTTTTATGTCATTTGTGTTACCTGGAGATGTTTCATTGATACCTTGAGATATTTCATTGATACCTTATATTATTTTCCTTTGGAGATGAAATATTTTTAAATAAATATAAAAATCTTGCAAGCTGCAATCTTTGATTATTCTATATAGCCTAAAGCTAACCTTTTAAAAATTGATGTTGTTCTCATATTTGCAGAAGATGTTTTTACAAAATTACATAGGTTATCAGTCATAAATACAAATATCTGTTCTTTAAAAAGATTTGAGGATTTGAGGGGGATGATACTGGGGATTAAAGCCTCTGGATTTGAGGGGGATGGTACTGGGGATTAAAGCCAGAGCATTCACACTGAGCTATACTCCCAACCCTTGAATTTTTCTTTTTTGAGACAGGATCTTACTAAAGTGTTCATTGCCTAGGTTAGGCTTGAACTTGTGCTCCTCCAGCCTCAACTTCCTAAAGTGCTGGGATTATAGGCTTCCTGAAATTTTAATGTAAATCCATAAGAAAACATCATTTCAGATTTCCCTGAATTGCATATAAAGCACATCTTTTCATGAAATTTAGATATTTATAATTTCGGAGGAAATGTAATATAAAGAGAATGAACCTTTTTGTTGTTTTTTGTTTGTTTTATTTTTTGAGCCAAGGTCTTGCTATGTAGTGCTGGCTGGACTTGGACACTTATGTAGCCTAGGCTGGCCTTGAACTCTTAGCAGTCCTCCTGGCACAGCCTCCTGAGTGCTGGGATTGCAGGTGTGCAATACCATATCCAGCAACAGTGAAAGTTTTTTTGATGACTTGCTATGTACACATTATTTCATTCAATCTTTTTTTCAAATTTTATGAAGTCAATATTTGTACTTTTTTATTTTTTTCCATAATTTTATTGATAAACGAATAGCAATGAGACAACTTCAAATCAAATCGGCAGGACAGTTTCAATAATTAACACATTGCATACATTCTTCCTAGTGGTCAATTGCTGTACAAGATGCGGACATGACATCCTATTTACAAACACCATTAGAACAAATCACTCTAGGAATAGACCCAGAGCACAGGCCCGGTGAGTGAGTGAGACGACCCAGGGCCCACTAGATCCTCATTCGACCCAGGCTGCAGGCCCAGCAGGGAAACCTTCAGGAGAACTCCCTGCAAAGAGGCTAGAGGCAAGACCCA